TTAAGTAAATGCTCTGTTTATAAAAAAAAAAACAGTATTAACATTTACCGGCCTGAATGTCCGAGAAATTTTTATAGAAAATATGCGTCCTCCGACAGGAAACGAACCTGTATCCTATACGGAACTGTCATATAGCCTGACGTGCCTCTTAACTGAATAGGCAACAGAGGAGCGTTCGGTTAGCAAGGTCGATTTTCTATAAAAATTCCTCGGACATTCAGGCCGGTAAATGTTGTTCATAGTGCTTATTATAAACAGAGCATTTATTCAAATATTTGTATCTATAAAAAGAACGTATAAACATAAAAATGTCTTATATATGGTGCGATGGGTAAATTGTCATTTTATATTTTTAATTGCGCGTATACGCATTTTTTTTTTTTTTTTTTTAATTTATTTTGTCTATTGCACTATAGTAGGATTAGAGAAAAAGAGCACCATGACGCAATTCACTCCTTCAGATATTTGGAAACATCATGCTTGACATTCGCGCCAGAGGCTCCAATACAAACATTTCAGTGAGTTTAGATGTCAATCTGAAGACAGTGCAAAAGATTCGGAAAGAGTTGGATGAGTCTAATGATCACGAATATCTTTGGAGTGATCACTAGTGATGGCGACGTTATGCCTTCATTCATCTTCCCACATAGTTTAGGCTTCAGTGTTGAGTCTGAGGCTAAGTGCCTTGAGGAAGTAGTGCTGCCCTGGGTCAATAGGGTGGCTGCTGGAAGATACTGTCTGGCAACAGGACACTGCACCATGCCACACGGCCGGGAGAAACCACTCATAGCTGTCAGACAATTTCCGCGACTACATTACTCCTTACATCTGGCCACCTAACTCCCCAGACTGCAATCCCTTTGATTATTAAGATGAACTGACGTGAAGGCAAGGATTATGGTAGCATTCAGCAACTCAGCAGGAGATTCCGAAGTCGTCTGGAGGCCGTGGTTGAAGCCAATCACGATATTATTGAATAAATTTACTCTTTAGTTTTTGAAGATATTTTTAGTAAATCTTAGATAATTTTGGTAAATATATCTGTCAGTGTTATTTTCATTTTTGCGTAAATTAGACGACAATTTATATATCGCAGTGTGTGTGTATATATATATATATATATATATATATATATATATATATATATATATATATAGTGAGGCAAAATTCGCGCACAATAAGGATAATCTATTAAAAGTATGACACATCAAAATTTTATTTACTTGTTATATGTGCTGTTCAAAATGTCCTCCTTTTTATTCAAAACCCATGATTCATTAACATGTCGGAGAGTTTCCTCTGTCATTTTACTGCATTTATATTTAATTCTTTAAGTTCTTCAATATGTCTTTGGCACGTTTGATAAAGAACTGATTTCAAATGGGCTCCATAGAAAAAAAAATCCAAGAGTGTGAGGTCTAGTAACTGGTTACTCAACAGGACCTATCCATTAATCCATATAGTGCGCGGCTTTTGCCTCGCCCTGTGTGTATGAGACGGTGGGGTGCTTCCCCCTCCCCCACTGAAATTTTACTTTGGTAAGCCTCTACTGAGAAAAAGAAAATACCTCTCAAATTGAGACAAATTTTAGCAGATAAATTTCAACCTATCTAGGAAAAGAAAAACTTTCAATTCAAACCAACCTGGAGAGAGTAGAGTTGTGTCAGACTATCTACCGACGTATTGAATTTCATACCAGTGTCTGTGACGCAAGCTGTGACCACGCTCAATGTGATGAAAGTGTGTGATCATGTTCAATTAGAGTTGTTTCAGTGGCGGCAAATTGTGGACCTTCGGGAGGCGAGGTAGTCAGTTTGACATGGCTCACAGGTGGTGCTTCGATGTTAACAGTGGTTAACGAACATTTATACACACATAGAAATAGATTCTAAACAGCCAAGATTGACGCATTGAAATGGTCGAAGTGGCAGACCGCACGGCGCAGATCAGAACAAATGTGGCCCCAAACGTGTCAACAGGGGGCGATAGAAATCGTTTACTAACAGCATGATGGCGTCTACCTTCATCCAGAATTTCACTTTCGCCACAAAACCTTTGTATATATCTCCATTGCAAAATCATCTAGGAGTGGGGGGCGTAGGGGGCGTAGGTCGAATGATGCAACATAGTCGAAAAACATAAACTAGAATGTATCTGACCACTACACATGCTCACTTCCAGGCACATGTCAGAGGGTATCCCCCAGACGAGGCTCTGTCGAAGGGAAGAGTCTTGTCTCAGAAAACTGACTCCGTTTTTACGAGGTCTATAGGGAATTTTGGCCCGAGCCTACGGTCCCGGATACCCCACATTAAAACCCGGCTTTGTGCTACATCTTGCTGCGTGGGGCAGTGGGTAAATAATACCATAAATTAAAAATGTAATTCCCCTAGTGTTTGTGGAGCGAAAGGCGAACAATGCCATGTACGACCAGGATATTGTTAAATTCTTACCGTTATTCCTGCAACAAGAAACTGGTGTTTTGTTCCAGTAACATAATGCCATTTTGCATGATGACCGATCTCCCAAATTGTTAAGACAAATAACCAGCAAGATTTCCAGAACGGTTTCTGATTTAAATGTTCTTGGGTATGAGACGACGTTTGACTTGATCAGTTAGTCTTCCTACAACTCTTGCTATTTTTCGTCAACTGGTGCCAGAGTTGTATAATCTTTCGCTGTATAGTATATCACCAGCTGTATGACCGTATTCAATAGAGTATAGGCTTAACGCCCAAGGAAGATATACGGTGTATTAATATATCTGATAGCTGTTGATATATTGCTGTTTTTTGTTCGCAATCCACTTTTGACACGTTTAATCATTCTCCATAAACTACATCAACTTTTTTTTCTGTTGAATCGCATCTTGCATCTTTTTTTTAATATCTTATAAATTCTGCTCGTCCCTATTTTAGTCACTTAGTTAACACGGACGTAGGTTACATTCTGCCAATGCCTCATAAATAATGAACTATTCCGTTTTGATCACGTGTGAAGACGGAAAAGATATATCAGAGGCGCTACTTGTTTCAGTGAGAATATGAAAGAAAAAAGTGAGGATAAATGTTTCTGTCTTTTCATTTGTATTCCCTTATTTCTTAAAACAATAAACAGCATTCATATTTATGATTTTTATGGCAATATATATCACGTTCAAATATCTAACGATGCGATATGTGGATTTCTATGGATATTTTATTGCTGTAGAACTCGCAGTCTAAGGATGCAGGTAAAATGGCAGGCACCCTGTACCGCTCCAGTTAGTACCTGACTCTTCCTATTATCATCTACCTTTAAAAAAAGCCTCCGTCGGTCAGGGTTGACCATGGCTAGCATCCTAGTTGTCTGCTCGGCTAGAGAATCTACTGTAGAGGGAGTGAAAATCTCTGTTGCAGAGGTCGTATATGTGTTCTGTCTTTGGTCGGTTGGAGCTGTCATTTTGCTTTCTGCACGACTGCCTTTCCGTGGCAACTTGTGTCAGCTTCTCCTCTCCTGACGAGGTGTTTGGTCAGGGTTTCTCTCCATTTGGATAGTATGGCTGCCAAGCTCTCCCAGGACTCTGTGTTGATGTCCACAACTTTCATGTCGCGCGTCACGATATCGCGGTACCGCAGCTATGACCGCCCGGAGGGTCTCCTTCCAGAGGTCAGATCTCTTTACAGGTCTTTGGGGATGCGGCCGTCTGGCATGCGGTGGATGTGGCTTAATCAACGGAGTCTGCGCTGTCTGATCAGTGTGAATATGCTAGGTAGACCTGCTCGAGACAGGACCTCAGTGTTGGGCACCTTGTCTTGCCACGGTATTCCCAGGATGCGGCGGGTGCTTCTCATGTGAAAGGTGTTCATAAGCCTTTCTTGCCTGGCGTACGTGGTCCAAGTCTCGCTGCCATATAGCAGTGTTCTGATGATGCAGGCATTGTGCACTGCCATCTTGGTCTTCACCATCAGCTTAGCATTGAACCACACACGTGGTGTCAGGCGTGGAAGTGTTGTGGCTGCCTTCTCGATTCTCTTGCGTTTAAGGAGAGGTTGTCAGAAATGGTGGAGCCAAGGTACCGCATCGAGCTCATAGTTGTCAATGGTTATGGCTGGTGATGTTTCTTTACCTTGTCCCAGGAAGTTTTTTTTTTTTTTTTTTTTTTTTTTTCGGTCAGCTCGAAGTTTCTGCAGGCCTGGAAGAAACGGTTCATCAGTGACTGAGGTTCACACTGGGTGTGAGTCGCTACCGTAGCATCGTCGTCAAAAAGCATGTCTCTGACACGGGCTTCAGGTACTTTGATTCTGGCTTTGAGGCGGGTGATATTGAACATCCCGCCATCTAATCTCGTACGTAGGTAAATCCCTTCTCTTGATGTGTCGAATTCATGCTTCAAAAGCAGAGCGAAGAAGATCCCGAAGAGAGTGGGAGTGAGGACGCAGCCCTGTTTGATCCCACTGCAGATGTTGAAGGTCCATTGAACTGCACAGTCCCTTGCATGTCGCTGTGGAAGGACTCAATCAAGCTCTTCAATTTGGGCAGCCAATCTTGGACAGGATTCTGAAGAGGCCTTCTTTACTGACGAGATAGAACGTCTTGGTGAGCTCGATAAAAGCGACATACAGCGGCATCTACTGTTCTCTACACTTGAGCTGGCGGAGGGAGAAACCATGTCTACCGTTGAGATTTCGGCTAGGAAACCGCACTGCGACTCTGGGTAGACACGTTCAGTGAGCTTCTGCAGGCGGGCTGAAATGATCCGAGTGAAGACTTTGTCCACAGCGCTGAGTAGCGAGATGCCGTTGCAGTCGCTTCGCTCACCCTTGTTCTTGTAGAGGGGGGGCGATATTGTCATATCTCATGTCCTGGGGTACGGCCTCTTCTTTCCAGCACTGGTAGAGGACCCCGTGCAATTGGAGCAGTAGGACAGTCTTTCAGTGCCCAATCAGGTCAAGGGGAAGTTCCTGTTACTGCCCGGGCCCTTCCCCGAGACCAAACTGTCAATGGCCTTAAGCTCCTCTATGGTCGGTTCGGTGTCGAGGTCCTCCATGTCCGGCAGGCACTCAATGGCATCAAGGGCTGCGGTTGTCAGTGGTGGATTTGAGGGGAGCTGTCTTGTCCCGCACTGGTCCCATTGCCGTCTTGATGTCATCGTTCATCCCTCTGATGTTCTCTGTAATTGCTGCTGTCTGGATGGTTTCGCTAAGCTCTGTTCAGTACTCGTTAGCGCAGAGTCTGGTAGTTTGATGAGCTTTTCTCCTGGCAGCCCGTAGGATCTGCAGGTTTTTCTTGCTGAGTGACCGCTTGTATTCTGCAAGAGCGGCGCGCTTGGTGACAATGACAGGAGTCATCTCGGCGGACTTTGCCTCACACCAGTCATATGACTTTGAGGTCTTTCTCCCATCGTTGGGAAGTATGTTTCACACGAACAGCTTCTTTCCGCGAAGAGGATGTTTCCCTGATCACTGCAATCTTAAACGGTTCAAGGCTAGGGTCAACCATCTTCCACTTCTAACGTAACCCGCTACATCGAGTAATCCCGCGCCTTCCAGAGTGAAAATTATTGAAAAAAAAAGTGTTTATTCAATCATTTAACTCAAGGAATAAGATTTATCAGAAAAATTTATTAAATTACCTTCAGTTTTCATTCTCGGCTTCTTTTCCTTCAGCGTTCCTTCTCGGCTTCCTTTTCCTTCAGCGTTCCTTCTCAGCTTCCTTTTCCTTCAGCTTTTCCTTCTCTTCTCTTCCTTTTCCTTCAGCTTCCTTCTTTCCCTTCAGCGTTCCTTCTCGGCTTCCTTTTCCTTCAGCGTTCCTTCTCGGCTTCCTTTTCCTTCAGCGTTCCTTCTCGGCTTCCTTTTCCTTCAGCGTTCCTTCTCGGCTTCCTTTTCCTTCAGCGTTCCTTCTCTTCAGCGTTCCTTCTCCTTTTCCTTCAGCGTTCCTTCTCAGCTTCCTTTTCCTTCAGTTTTCCTTCGCTTCCCTTTTCTCAGCTTCCCTTTTCCTTCAGCGTTCCTTCTGGCTTCCTTTTCCTTCAGCGTTCCTTTCTTTTTTTTCCTTCTCGGCTTCCTTTTTTTCCTTCCTTTTCCTTCGTTCCTTCTCGGCTTCCTTTTCCTTTTTTTCCTTTTCCGTTCCTTTTCTTCAGCGTTTTTTCCTTTTCCTTCAGCGTTCCTTCTCGGCTTCCTTTTCCTTTTCCGTTCCTTCTCGGCTTTTTTTCCTTTTCCGTTCCTTCTCGGCTTTTTTTCCTTTTCCGTTCCTTCTCGGCTTTTTTTCCTTTTCCGTTCCTTCTCGGCTTTTTTTCCTTTTCTTTTTCCTTCTCCTTTTCCGTTCCTTCTCGCTTTTTATTTTTCGTTTCCTTCTCAGCTTTTTTCCTTTTCCTTCAGCGTTCCTTTTCGCCTACTTTTCATTCAGCTTTCCTTTTCGGCTTCTTTTCATTCAGTTTTCCTTCCATTCAATTTTCCTTCGTATTTTTTCCTTTTTTTTCTGATTTTATTTTAAATTGCAATATTTTAAAAGCATTTCACTGTCAATAATACACACACACACACACACACACACACACATATATATATATATATATATATATATATATATATATACACTATTAAAAATCATTATTTAGTTTAGAAACGACTAAAATCTTTCTTTATAAACCCCCATAAATATCAACTCCGTTTTCTCCGATGGCTTTTACTAAAAGTAGTTTACCCCTCCCCACTCCGCCTTTAGCCTTAAAGCACCCGTTCTCCCCTACCAAACTAGTTTTACCATCTTGTGCAGCACTGTAGTCTATCGTTCCATTTCTAAGCTGAAGGCAAAACTAAAATCTATTTTTTTTTTCTTTAGGCTTCATTTACTGCTGACAAAATCATACACATGTGTAGTGTCACATTGCCGGAGCACGTCACAACCGTTGGTAAGTGTTTCGCTCATCTGAATTTTTAAAATCTCTTATTTCAACTTTGGTGAAAATCATTTCTACCTTTAAATCAAATAAAAATTATTAAAATAATTTAGATTTAAAAAAAAAAAAAAAAAATTCAATTTTTAAAAAAAATCAACTCCAATAATGTTGAGCTTCACGATAGAACATTGAAGCTGTCAATTCAGATCAGCCAAAGAGAAATTTGTTTGATAATGGTGAAAATACATTCTTTCCATACAGGTAACAATCGACTTTCATTGACTGAACAGTCATCGTTACTACCAGTTGAAATCTATGAAAGTAAAAAAAAAAAAAAAAAAAAAACGATGGTTTCTCAAGTCCGTTAACTATTATTCTTTCTAAATTCGATGGAAGTTTCCTTTCTAATCTTTTGTCTAAGGTAGTGGGAAAATCGACATCTCATTTTAGTTGTTAGGGAAAAATGATACCCAATACCAGGTCTAAGAGCCTCTCAAAATAGTGGGTTGCTGTTTGGCGTTGTATCAGTGTAAGAAAAGGTTAAGAAGTGAAGTTCATGAGGCTCTACAGGAAATAAAATGGTTCACTCTAGACTTAATGAGGTCAAGATTGTTGTGATCGGGAAAACAAGAGAATGAACAGACTTTAGAAGGAACCGGAAACCCAATCGTGAACCGGGCGATAGGTGGACCTATCTACACCAAGAGAACAAATCTCTCGTATAAATTTTATGACTTTATGGCTATTGTTAGAGATCTATTTTATTATTGTTGTTAATCACTTTTTTAAAAAATGTTATACGTTTTCATGACGTAGGCAACATGGCTGTCACTATCTTCCTTATCTTTTAAGATTTGAATTGTGGTGATTTTTCAATTGCCTTCTCGACTTAGTCTCTTACTGTTAATTATATATAAATTAAATTTCATCATATATATATATATATATATATATATATATATATGTGTGTGTGTGTGTATAAGGAAATACATACACAGGGTTCAGTATATGACAGCGAAATTCGAAAAGTAAGATGGCTTCCAAAAATTAAAAGCATTAGAAGGACAATTTACTTAGAAACAAATAAGTTAGTGCTATGTATTATCAATGCTCCTTTATGTCAGTGGATGCTGCAATTTCCCCACAGATGAAGAAGCCACAAAGATGTGGTTCTGCAGAAGGATGATGAGAATATCATGGACATGTAAGCAATGAGGAATTCTTAAAGGAACATGGAAACAAAACTGTCTGTTATAATAGAATGTCCCACTCTCCCTATCGCCTATTGTGGACTGATTATATCAGTAAATATATATAGGGTGCACAGGACATAGCTGAGACTAGCTTCGGGAATTGCTAGCCTGCTAACCGATTCCCTGTCTTTCATTAGTGTATTCTCTTTTACAATAAACCTCACTTTCTTACATCTACGCCCGTGTTGCGGTTCCTTTCACTCTAGTACCACCTTTGTCTGTTTGTAACCGGTTTAAGGATACAACCGGTCGCTGAGTATCAGACATTTGAAATTTAATGAGGAAAGAAGGCTTGAAAATTTGACACTCAGAAAACTTCAAAGTCAACAGGGGCAGAGAGAAAGTTATCTCGCAAGCTTGTATAAATGGACAGCAAAACAGGGAGTAAGGATAGTAATGCCACAACCATTGTGAAGATGAAAAGTTAGGGAGTTTTTGGCGAGACATTATCACTCATTATTCGGTTTTATGCATCTACTGTGGGTCTAAGAACACATATTTCCATGGATAAAAATAAATGAGGAATACGGTCATAATTCACCGAGTTAAAATGTGATACTATGGAAATTCACATAAAAGGGGAAGAGTTAGTTTTATCTCCATCTTAAGTGTTTCTGTGTGATGAACCAGCAGATAGTTCTTTTTGAAGTTCAGTTTTCTAAGCGGCATCTATTTTGACCCAAGAGTAACGCGGTGGATTAGAGATTTTTGGAGATCATGTTGCAACCAAACCGGAAATAGGGTATATCCGAGTGCTAGTCTGTATTAACAGTTATGCTTGTAATCGGAAAGAGTTTTGGTATATTGCCTATCTACGCACTCGGACGAACAGACGAATCTCTGTATAAAACACCTATATAAAATAATATGGGAAACAGGGTTCGCGTTCTTATTTCTCAATTTTCCGTTTCTTTTTCTCTTGTTAGTTTGTGAGCGTGCATTGTGCCCTTTCCTAGCTTTCAGTGAACACCAACGAGACCGAGGATTGATATGCAACCTGGGGTGAACATTGGCGGGTCGACGGAAAGCTTGGTATATTTACAAAAATAGTATAATGAGCAACATGTGGCAAGAATGATAGTTACTGATCCGTAACAACTACTTTTAATTGTCTGAGTCGGAGGTATATCAGTCGGCAAAATGATTCAGGTAATTCCTTGTGATGTGTTGAATTCTGAAGTTATGGCAAAGAAGTATTTTGAAAGATTTGGATAATGGCCAAATTACAATCAGAATACAAAGTCAAAGTATGGTGTTAAAGTTCAGTAGTTTTGAATGTCTTTCGGCAATAATCTGAGAATAGAAAAAGTCACCAATTGCCGAAAAGATATCAGTTGGCCCAAACTTTTTGAACGCGAAAAGGGAATGGAGTTTCCTGCCAAGTATGAGCCACAAGTAGGACTACTGTGGTACAAATTGCAAACAGTTTTAACCAAGGCGAGGGGTTCTCTAGATCTGTGGCCTTGCGCTTAGTAAATTAAGCTTAGTAAATACTTCGAAGACTAATGTTTGCACTAATAATTAGCAAGTTTATTTCATTGACTTTTTCTATCTGTTTAAACTTATCGAGCGCTCTATTACTGAGGCCTTGTGCTATACTAGGCTACCACAATTTTAACCCCAGATGAATATTATCATGGACGGGGAGTAGAGGAGAGGGCAAGAGAATGGATGGATAGGGAGAAGGAAAGGAGATAAAGAGGCGTAGGTATAAGAGAAAGGAGGGTAAAGGGTGATGAGATGGAATTGGTATACAAAAAATGTACCCCCTATTTCTTCGTACTTCAGAAAAAGCTTCGTTATAAACAAAGAATAGAGTACTGAATGGTTACGTAATATACATAGGAGTATGGCAGTGAATGTTGGACAATCTCCTCACAGATGAAAAAGTGGAAGCGACAGAAATGTGGTTCTACAGAAGGATACTGAGAATACAGTGAACTGAACAAGTGAACGACGACAAAGATTGGGAGAAATTGAAACACAAAGGACACTTACACTTAACATTAAGAAGAGGCCATTTAAATTTCTAGGTACAAATAACGAGGAAAGAGGGATTAGAAAATTTGATACTCACGGGACAATCTGCCTAGAGAGATTGAGTAAATGGATGGCGGAACAAGGTTTAGGAGAAATAAGACAAAATTTGATAGGTGATCATGACACTCCACAATTTCCTATATCCTGAAGAGACACGACACATAGAAGACTCGTTGCTTCATCTAGCCTACTGTAAGACCAAAATAACACTATATTTCGTCAAGGCTGATATTAGGCTGAGCATAGGTCTACGAGAGATGTCCTCTTTATTCACACTTTTGTAAATAACATCAACCATTTGTGCACAGTATGTGATCAAAAGTCGACTTGTTGCCATTCCTATCAACTCGTTGTGTATCACGCGCTCGTAAATGTTACTGTTTGTCAATTATCGGTCACTTACCAATCAATATCCTACGAGAGTTGGCTCGCCTTTTTATCTCCAGTCAGGTGCGTTCAAGAGGGGCGGGTGACGAGATTAATAGACTATCAGTTCTTCCGAGTGAATTGAGGTCGTCTCATTTCCATTCGTTCCGGACAAGAGAACCGTTTAATGTCTACGTAGAAAGCGTAGAAATCGGCCTATTAACAAGCTGAAGTCTCCATCCACTGCGCATGCGTGCTGGGACACTTCCTGCATTTTTAATTTAGTTATTTCTTATTTTCGTCTTACCTTCTAGTCTACTTTACTATCCATTTCGTTCTCTCTCTCTCTTTTTCGCTGTATCCATTTCGTTCTCTCTCTCTCTCTCTTTTTCGCTGTATCCATTTCGTTTCTCTCTCTCTCTTTTTCGCTGTATCCATTTCGTTCTCTCTCTCTCTTTTTCGCTGTATCCATTTCGTTCTCTCTCTCTCTTTTTCGCTGTATCCATTTCGTTCTCTCTCTCTTTTTCGCTGTATCCATTTCGTTCTCTCTCTCTTTTTCGCTGTATCCATTTCGTTCTCTCTCTCTTTTTCGCTGTATCCATTTCGTTCTCTCTCTCTTTTTCGCTGTATCCATTTCGTTCTCTCTCTCTCTCTTTTTCGCTGTATCCATTTCGTTCTCTCTCTCTCTCTTTTTCGCTGTATCCATTTCGTTCTCTCTCTCTCTTTTTTCGCTGTATCCATTTCGTTCTCTCTCTCTTTCGCTGTATCCATTTCGTTCTCTCTCTTTTTCGCTGTATCCATTTCGTTCTCTCTCTTTTTCGCTGTATCCATTTCGTTCTCTCTCTTTTTCGCTGTATCCATTTCGTTCTCTCTCTCTTTCGCTGTATCCATTTCGTTCTCTCTCTCTTTCGCTGTATCCATTTCGTTCTCTCTCTCTTTTTCCATTTCGTTTTCTCTCTCTCTTTCCTTTCCATTCGTTTCTCTCTTTTTCGCTGTATCCATTTCGTTCTCTCTCTTTTTCGCTGTATCCATTTCGTTCTCTCTCTTTTTCGCTGTATCCATTTCGTTCTCTCTCTTTTCGCTTTGTATCCATTTCATTCTCTTTTTCTTTTCCTTTGTATCCATTTCGTTCTCTCTCTTTTCTGTATCCATTTCGTTCTCTCTTTTTTCGCTGTATCCATTTCATTTCTCTCTCTTTTCGCTGTATCCATTTCGTTCTCTCTCTTTTTTGTATCCATTTTTCTCTCTCTTTCCATTATCCATTTTTTTCTCTCTCTTTTTCGCTTTATCCATTTCGTTCTCTCTCTCTTTTCTGTATCCATTTGTTCTCTCTCTCTCTCCTTTTTTATCCATTTCGTTCTCTCTCTTTTTTCGCTGTATCCATTTTCTCTCTCTCTCTCTTTCTATCCATTTGTTCTCTCTCTCTCTCTCATTTGTATCCATTTCTTTCTCTCTCTCTCTCTTTTATCCATTTCATTCTCTCTCTCTCTCTTTGTTTATCCATTTCATTTCTCTCTCTCTCTCTCTCTCTGTATCCATTTCGTTCTCTCTCTCTCTCTCGCTGTATCCATTTCGTTCTCTCTCTCTCTCTCGCTGTATCCATTTCGTTCTCTCTCTCTCTCTCTTTTATCCATTTTTCTCTTCTCTCTCTCTTTCCTGTATCCATTTCATTCTCTCTCTCTCTCCTTTGCTTATCCATTTCGTTCTCTCTCTCTCTCTCGCTTTGTATCCATTTCTTTCTCTCTCTCTCTCTCTCGCTGTATCCATTTCATTTCTCTCTCTCTCTCTCCTTTGTATCCATTTCATTTTCTCTCTCTCTCTTTTCCTGTATCCATTTCGTTTCTCTCTCTCTCTTTTGTTTTATCCATTTCGTTTCTCTCTCTCTCTCTTTTTGTATCCATTTCATTCTCTCTCTCTCTCTCTCTTTGTATCCATTTTTCTCTTCTCTCTCTCTCTCTCTCTCTCTCTCTCTTTCGCTGTATCCATTTCTTTCTCTCTCTCTCTCTCTTTCGCTGTATCCATTTCTTTCTCTCTCTCTCTGTATTTCGCTGTATCCATTTCGTTCTCTCTCTCTCTCTCTCTTGTTTTTTGTATCCATTCATTTTCTCTCTCTCTCTCTCTTTCTCGCTGTATCCATTTCATTCTCTCTCTCTCTCTCTTTTCCATTTTCATTCTCTCTCTCTCTCTCTCTCTTTTTCGCTGTATCATTTCGTTCTTCTCTCTCTCTCTCTTTTTCGCTGTATCCCATTTTCTCTCTCTCTCTCTTTTTTTTCTATCCATTTCTTTCTCTCTCTCTCTCTTTTTTTGTATCCATTTCGTTCTCTCTCTCTCTTTTTTCGCTGTATCCATTCATTTTTCTCTCTCTCTCTCTTTTTTCGCTGTATCCATTCATTCTCTCTCTCTTTTCGCTGTATTTTTTTTCGTTCTCTCTCTCTCTTTTTTTTTTATCCATTTCATTCTCTCTCTCTCTTTCTTTTTCTGTATCCATCTCTCTCTTCTCTCTCTCTTTTTCGCTGTTTTCTCTCTCTCTTTCTCCATTTAGATTTTCTCTCTCTCTCTTTTTCTCTCTCTTTTCCATATCCATTCTCTCTCTCTCTTTTTCGCGTTCTCTCTATCCATTTCGTTCTCTCTCTTTTTTTTCGCAGTTTTATCCATTTCGTTCTCTCTCCATTCTCTCTCTCTCTTTTTCGCTGTATCCATTTCGTTCTCTCTCTCTTTTTCGCTGTATCCATTTCGTTCTCTCTCTCTTTTCGCTGTATCCATTTCATTCTCTCTCTCTGTTTTCGTTTTCTCTTTTCTCTGTATCCATTTCTTTCTCTCTCTCTTTTTCTGTATCCATTTCATTCTCTCTCTCTTTTTCTGTATCATTTTCTCTCTCTCTTTTTTGCTATTATCCATTTCGTTCTCTCTCTCTTTTTCTCTCTATCTTTTTCTCTCTTCTCTGTATCCATTATCCATTCTCTTTCTCTCTCTCTTTTTTCGCTGTCCATTTCTTTCTCTCTCTCTCTTTCTCTCTCTCTCCTTTTTTTTTTCTCTCTCTCTCTCTTTCTCATTTTCTGTATCCATTTTCTTCTCTCTCTCTTTTCTGTTCCATTTCGTTCTCTCTCTCTCTCTCTTTTTTTCATTTCTTTTCTCTCTCTCTGTCTCTCTCCATTGTTTTTTCTCTCTCTCTCTCTCTGTATCCTTATCTTTCTCTCTCTCTCTCTGTATCCTTATCTTTCTCTCTCTCTCTCTCTCTCTGTATCCTTATCTTTCTCTCTCTCTCTCTCTCTCTCTCTGTTTTTCGCTGTATCCATTTCTTTCTCTCTCTCTTTTTTTTCTGTATCCATTTCTTTCTTCTCTCTCTCTTTTTCTGTATCCATTTCTTTCTCTCTCTCTCTGTTTTTTTTCTCCATTCATTCTCTCTTCTCTCTCTCTTTTTCTATCCATTTCTTTCTCTCTCTCTCTCTTTTTCTCTCCATTTTCTTTCTCTTTTCTCTGTGTTTTTTCTATCCGTTCTCTCTCTCTGTTTTTTCGCTGTATCCTTTCTTTTCTCTCTCTCTATGTTTTTCTATCCATTTCTTTCTCTCTCTCTCTCTCTTTTTTTTCTATCCATTTCTTTCTCTCTCTCTCTCTCTCTGTTTTTTCGCTCTTATCCATTTCTCTCTCTCTCTCTTCTCTCTCTCTCTCTCTCTCCATTTTTCTCTTTTCTTATCCATTCCATTTCTCTCTCTCTCTCTCTTCTCTCTCTTTTTTCGCTGTATCCATTCTCTCTCTCTCTCTCTCTCTCTCTCTCTGTATCTCTTCTCTCTCTCTCTCTTTTTTCTCTTTTTCATTTCATTTCTCTCTCTTCTGTTTTTCTCTCCATTTCTCTCTCTCTCTCTCTTTGTTTTTCACTGTATCCATTTCTTTCTCTCTCTCTCTCTCTCTCTTTTTTTCTGTATCCATTTCGTTCTCTCTCTCTCTCTGTTTTCGCTCTTATCCATTTCTTCTCTCTCTCTCTCTCTCTCTCTCTTTTTTTTTGTATCCATTTCTTTCTCTCTCTCTCTCTTGTTTTCCATTTCATTCTCTCTCTCTCTCTGTCTTTTTCTTATCCATTTCTTTCTCTCTCTCTCTCTTTTTCGCTGTATCCATTCTCTCTCTCTCTCTCTTTTCTTCTCTCTCTCTCTTTCTCTTTTCATTTTATCCATTTCTTTCTCTCTCTCTCTCAGTGTTTTTCTGTATCCATTTCTCTCTCTCTCTCTCTTTTTTCTCTATCCATTTCTTTCTCTCTCTCTTTTATCTATTTTCCATTTCTTCTCTCTCTCTCTCTCTATTTTTTCTCTCCATTTTTATCTCTCTTCTCTCTCTCTCTTTTTCTATCATTTCTCTCTCTCTCTCTCTCTGTTTATCTCTTTTTCGTTCTCTCTCTCTCTCTTTCTCTCTTTTTGTATCCATTTCTCTCTTCTCTCTCTCTGTTTTTCTATGTATTTTCTCTCTCTCTCTCTCTCTATTTTTCCTATCCATTCTTTCTCTCTCTCTCTCTCTCTTTTCGCTGTATCCATTTCTCTCTCTCTCTCTCTCTCTGTTTTTCTCATTTCTCTCTCTCTCTTTCGCTGTATCCATTTCGTTCTCTCTCTCTCTCTTTCTCATTCTTTTTCTCTCTCTCTCTCTCTTTTATCTGTATCCATTTCGTTTCTCTCTCTCTCTTTCTTTGTATCCATTTCGTTCTCTTTCTCTCTCTCTCTCTCTTTTCTGTATCCATTTCTCTCTCTCTCTCTCTCTCTCTTTTCGCTGTCATTTCTCTCTCTCCATTTCTTTCTCTCTCTCTCTCTCTCTCTTTTTTTTCTTATCCATTTCATTCTCTCTCTCTCTCTCTTTTCTGTTTTTTCTCTTTTCTTTCTTTCTCTCTCTCTCTCTCTCTCTTTTTTTGCTGTATCCATTTCTTTCTCTCTCTCTCTCTCTCTTTCTGTTTTCTATCCATTTCTCTCTCTCTCTCTCTCTCTCTTTTTTTTCCATTTCTTTCTCATTCTCTCTCTCTCTCTCTCTGTTTTTCCATTCTCTCTCTCTCTCTCTCTCCGTTCTCTCTCTTTTCTCTTTTTCTCTCTCTCTCTCTCTCTCTCTCTGTTTTTCGCTGTATCTTTTTCTCTCTCTCTCTCTCTTTTATTTTTTCCATTTTTCTTCTCTCTCTCTCTTTTCTGTATCCATTTCATTCTCTCTCTCTCTTTTCGCTGTATCCATTTTGTTTCTCTCTCTCTCTTTTTCGTTCTGTATCATTTCGTTCTCTGTTTTTCTCTCTCTATCCATTTCGTTCTCTCTCTCTCTTTTCGCTGTATCCATTTCGTTCTCTCTCTCTCTCTCTCTTTTCGCTGTATCCATTTTCTCTCTCTCTCTCTCTCTTTCTTTCGCTGTATCCATTTCTCTCTCTCTCTCTCTCTCTCTCTTCTCTATTTCTTTCTTTCTCTCTATCCATTTCGTTCTCTCTCTCTCTCTCTCTTTCTCTATTGTATCCATTTCTCTTCTCTCTCTCTCTCTTTTTCTCTCTGTATCCTCTCTCTCTTTCGCTGTATCCATTTCTCTCTCTCTCTCTTTTTTTTTGTATCCATTTCATTTCTTTCTCTCTCTCTCTCTCTCTTTTCGCTGTATCCATTTCGTTCATTTCTCTCTCTCTCTCTCTCTCTCTTTTCGCTGTATCCATTTCTTTCTCTCTCTCTCTCTGTTTTTCTCTCTATCCGTTCTCTGTTTCTCTCTGTATCCATTTTTTTCTCTCTCTCTCTCTCTCTTTTTTTTTCCTTTCTTATCCATTTCTTTCTCTCTCTCTCTTTGTTTTTCGCTGTATCATTCCATTCTCTCTCTCTCTCTCTTTCGCTGTATCCATTTCTTTCTCTCTCTCTTTCGCTGTATCCATTTCTTTCTCTCTCTCTTTCGCTGTATCCATTTCTTTCTCTCTCTCTTTCGCTGTATCCATTTCTTTCTCTCTCTCTCTCTTTTTTTTTTCCGTTCTCTCTCTCTCTCTCTCTTTTTTGTATCCATTTCTCTCTCTCTCTCTCTCTCTTTCTGTATCCATTTCTTTTCTCTCTCTCTTGTATTTTTTTCTCTCTCTCTCTCTTTTTTTTTGTATCCATTTCTCTTCTCTCTCTGTTTTTCGCTGTATCCATTTTTCTCTCTCTCTCTCTCTTTGTTTTTCTCTATCTCTCTCTCTCTCTCTCTTTTTCTCTTTTCGCTGTATCCATTTTTCTCTCTCTCTCTCTCTTTTTCTCTCTCTCTCTCTTTTTCGCTGTATCCATTTCTTTCGTTTTTTTTCATTCTCTCTCTCTCTTTTTTTATCCATTTCTTTCTCTCTCTCTCTGTTTTTTCTCTCTCTTTTGTATCCATTTCGTTCTCTCTCTCTGTCCATTTTCTTCTCTCTCTCTCTCTCTCTTTTATCCATTTTTTCTCTCTCTCTCTCTCTTTTCTTTTTATCCATTTCATTCTCTTCTCTCTCTCTCTTTTCTTTGTATCCATTTCATTTCTTTCTCTCTCTCTTTCTCTGTATCTTTTTCTATCGTTCTCTCTCTCTCTCTCTCTTTTTTCTGTATCCCATTTCTCTCTCTCTCTCTTTTTTCTGTATCCATTTCGTTCTCTCTCTCTCTCTATTTTCTGTATCTTTCATTTCTCTCTCTCTTTTTCTCTGTATCCATTTCTTTTCTCTCTCTCTCTCTATTTATTTCGCTGTATCCATTTCTTTCTCTCTCTGTATTTTATAAGGCATTTTTCTCTCTCTCTCTTTTTTTTGTATCCATTTCTTTTTCTCTCTCTCTCTTTTATGTTTTTATCCATTTCTTTTCTCTCTCTCTCTCCTCTCTTTTTTTTGTATCCATTTCTTTCTCTCTCTTTCAATTTTTTTTCTATCCATTTCTTTCTCTCTCTCTTTTCGCTGTATCCATTTCTTCTCTCTCTCTCTCTCTTTTCGCTGTATCCATTTCGTTTCTTCTCTCTCTCTCTCTCTTTCTCTCTCTCTCTTTTCTCTGTATCCATTTCATTTCTCTCTCTCTCTCTCTCTGTCTCTCATTCAGTTTTTTTGTATCATTTCTCTCTTCTCTCTCTCTCTTTTTTCGCTGTATCCATTTCTTTTCTCTCTCTCTCTCTCTCTCTCTTTTGTTTTTTCTCTCTCTCTCTCTCTCTCTGTATCCATTTCTTTCTCTCTCTCTCTCTCTCTGTTTTTCGCTGTATCCATTTCTTTCTCTCTCTCTCTCTCTGTGTTTTTCGCTGTATCCATTTCTTTCTCTCTCTCTCTCTCTGTTTTTCTCTCTCTCTCTCTTTTGTATCCATTTTCTTTCTCTCTTTCTCTCTCTCTCTCTCTCTCTTTTCGCTTTATCCTTTTCTTTCTCTCTCTCTCTCTTTTTCTGTATCCATTTTTCTCTCTCTCTCTCTCTCTCTTTTTTTTCTCTCTCTCTCTCTTTTCTGTTTTCATTTCATTCTCTCTCTCTCTCTTTTCGCTGTATCCATTTTTCGTTCTCTCTCTCTCTCTTTCTTTCTTCTCTCTCTAACTTTTCGCTCCATTTCGTTCTCTCTCTTTGTTTTTCGCTGTATCCATTTCGTCTCTCTCTCTCTCTTTCTCTGTTTTTTCTCTCTCTCTCTCTCTCTCTCTCTTTTTTCTTTATCCATTTCGTTATTCTCTCTCTCTCTCTCTCTTTTTGTTCGTGCAGTCTCCTCTCTCTCTCTATTTTCAGCTGAATATTCGTTCTCGAAGTTAGACAATTTTTCTCTTATATTTTATATATCCATTTATTCTCACTCTCTCTCTCATTGTTTGGAAACGAAAAATCATTAAATTTCTCTCTCTAAAATTTTTCCAAATCCATTTGGTCTTATTTGTCCAATTATTTTGGCTTTCATGATATACTCTCGTCTAAATTTAGTAAATATCTACATTTGCTCTTTATATTTACACTACTTGCATCCGGACGATTTCTCTCTCTCATCTTTTTCGCTTATCCACCATTTCTCTCTCTTTAGCCACTGAGCCTCTCAGCACTCATCTGAATTTCTTTATTTAATCTTTCCTTATCCATTTCGTTTTTCTCGTTCTGCTGAACACGTCTTTAGATATCTCGCCTTGTAATTATTTAGTTCTGCTCAGTAATTCTCGTTCCGTTTCTACGGTGTCCAAGTACATCTCACAATTACTGTGTCACCAAATTTATGAAACTAGTGCTTTAATCCAGTAAGCTATTGTCCCGTGTGACAATTCATTAGATTTCTCTCTCTCTCTTTGGAGCCTTTCGTTTCTATGAACTCTGCATTTTAATGAGACTTCAGCTGTTGTAAATAAAGATAAATCCTCATTCCAAAAATTGAAACAAAATTATTCTGTTTCTCGTTTATTAAATTTTCATTTTTTTTTATTTTTTTCATTCTTTCATTCAGTTTTTTTTATTTTCGTTTTCTTTTATTTACAATTTTTTTTCCTTTCTCTCTTCGTTCCGCGTTTTCCTTTCTTTTCTCGTTTCTGTTTCCATTTTTTTTTCTTTCTTTTCTCGTTCGTTCCCGCGTTTTTTTTCTTTCTTTTCTCGTTCGTTCTCTCTCTTTTTTTGTATCCATTTTCTCTTCTCTCTTTTTCTTTCTTTTCTCATTTTGTTTTTTTTTTTTCTTTCTTTTTTCTCATTCGTTTTTCGTTTTTTTTTTTTCTTTTTTCTTTTCTGTGTTTTCCCGCATTTTTTTCTTTTCTTTTCTCGTTGTTTCCTTTTTTTTTTCCATTTATTTCTTTCTTTTTCTCGTTCGTTCCTTTAGGTTATCCACTCTCTCTTTTTCTTTCTCTTTCTCTTTCGTTCGTTCTCCTTTTTTTTTTTTATTTTCTTTTTGAACTCACAAACCATTCATTTCGTTCTTGGTGCATTTTTGGCTTTTTTTAAAAAATTTAGTTTCTACATTTCTTTTATATTTCACTTGCATCGGACGATTTTTTCTTTCTTTTATCGGGTAAAAACGCACTCATCTGAACTTAATTTTTCTATTTAAATTTTTTCTCGTTCTGTTCCAAAGTTTGTTTTTCTGCTCAGTAATTCTCGTTTTTCTACGGTGTGTACATTCGGTACTGTTTCCAATTTTGAAACTAGTGCTTTTTTTTTCTTTCTTTTCTAAACCTAACCTGCATTTCTTTGGCTGTTGTAAATAAAGTTTTTTTTAAAAAAAATTTTCTTTTCTCGTTTATTGATTTTTCATTTTTGTTCCATTCTTTCATTCAGTTTTTTTTTTTTTTTCTTTTATTTACAATTTTTTTTTTTCTTTCTCGTTCGTTCCCGCGTTTTTTTTCTTTCTTTTCTCGTTCGTTCCCGCGTTTTTTTTCTTTCTTTTCTCGTTCGTTCCCGCGTTTTATCTATCATTCATATATATATATATATATATATATATATATATATATATATATATAACGTGTGTGTGTGTAAATATTTTCCTCTCCTGTAGAAACTTTACATCCATTCTCTTCTGTATGCTGAAGACAGATAAAAACAAACTGCAATAAGTATGAATGGGCTGAGATATGACGAGAAAATGCGGAAAAGCTCTCAGCCCAGTTCACTTCTCAAAATCAATATTCGGATGTTTGGCCATTACAATATTGATTTCTTTTGTGTGCTTGGAGTTGGGGTGGGGATTCTCAATAAAATAAAATCTCTTATGTTTGGTTATGTTGTCAGATTTTAGGAAATGGGTCGGTCCAACAAGTTATTAGCATTACCCCTCCCAGATATAAGTATTTTTGCGTCTATATTTCCATATCTTTTTCTATGCATAACTTGTTCTTATGTATCTATATATCTATCCATGTGTTCACTCTATTATTTCCTTCTTGTGGCGTCGTATAGACTTTTCTGTGATTTTTAAACCCGACACTTAAAAATTAAAAAAAATAATTTATGTCTTTTTTAGCTTTCAGATTATTTTAGCTCACGGATGCACTTATAAAATCTTAAAAACTTAAATGTTCATCTTATTTTTCATGATACAAGTAAACTAGTATTCGTATCTGTTCTATAACATAACACTTACGCTGAGTATGTATACTTATCGGTCACGCATCCTTATCTCCTCTTCTTCATGAGGTATTCCATTGTTATAGTAACAAAATAGATTACTCGACGCCAATAGGCGAACGTGCTCCTTTTACTAACAAATGGATATTAAGCTACTATAACATTTTTAATGATTTTGCTTCTTTTTTTTTTTTTTTAATCATTAAAAGCGTTTTGATAATTGTATTATTATTGGATATAAAACTGCCCAATCATACTATTTTGTAATCCTCATAGCGAGGATTTTTTTGTTCTCCATCAGCATGGCTGATGCTAACCTCGAGGAGAGCAACTCATTGCGCCTTATTGGTCTTGTTTGGGTGGTGTGTCTGGTTATATATATATATATATATATATATATATATATATTGAACAATAAAAAAAAATTAAAATCTTCAGACACACTGGCTTGTAGATTAATATTCTTTCGTTTTTTTTTGTTTTTTTTATTACTCTTTCATTTAGATTCCTCGACTAGTTTCGGCCAAAATGGCCATCATCGGGGGAAGAAATATTTCTGCTTGCTGGTAGCAGTAAACTACAGAAATGAATCTTTTGCTGGAGAAAATGAACTTTTGTCTGTAGTTTTCATTTGTTTTTTATTTTTTTATCTTTTTAACATGAATCTTTTAACAATCCTTGTGTTGGTCAAACAGTCTCTTTTAAGTTGTTATTTGAAATAAGAGCTGGATGGATCTATGCTTCTCTGAATTCCCTTGGTCAGTTGGACAGTTTTATTGGTCCTGGAGAGGGGATGTGTCTCTGTTAAGTGTGTGTGTTATTTGGTTCTTAGTGAGTGAGTATGATATTTGTAAGCTGTGTATTGTTGTGGGTGGGTGTTATCATTTGGCTCATTAGGGAGTGAGAGAGTATGATGTGTGCATATTCGTGTGGGTGGGTGTATAAGTGTGAGGTCTCAACAGCTCTGTAAGCATGTCTGTCTTGTGTGGGTGAGAAATGTGGGTAGGTTTTGATTTGTAAAGTTATATATTAGTACTATCTCTATTGTTAAATTTATGGTTTAGCCCGGCTGGATAGTGTGTTTTTAGACGGTGTATCCACTTATTTTCATGGAACTCTAAAATCTTTCTAATGTTATCTGCTCTGAACTTTTCTTTTCTCAATTATAGTTATATATATATATATATATATATATATATATATATATATATATATATATATATATATATTCCTCAGGTATATTAAAATGTCTATCCCTCACAAATGGAAAATAACCATTTTTTTTTACCCTCCTTCAGCATAGCCGATGCTAGCCTCCAGAAGAGGAAATTTATTGCACATTTTTGGTCTCAGGTTTTCCACTAACATAAAGTGGAGTGATTGTGCAAGACAATTTTTTCTTGTCAGAATCTATTTTGCACATTTATAAATTTACCATTCGTTCGTGCATTGAATATTGCTGTTGTATATGTTCTGGTGCTCTGGCTATATATCTCGAGATTTTTGACAAAATCCAAAGGGGTTGTGATATTATTAGTCATGATCTGGCATCTCTACTTCAGCTTCCCTCTATCTGTTCTATAAATATTTTCATGGTAGTTGTTTTAATGGTCTCTCCGACTTGGTACCTCGATGGCATGAATTTAAGGGTGCTACTGGGTCGTATCGTTTTTACTATTGAAATAGCTAGATGTAACCATAAGTCCAATTCTAATGTTTTTTTTCTCGCACTTCTCTTCAGGTTTCTTCTTGGTTACCTACAATCTTCAAAAATTTAAACGCAATATCAATCGCCATCTTCTGTCTTTCTGAATCCCGCCTTTTTTTTTTTAACTCGGTAATGTCTTATTTTCTTTCGCTCTCAGTAAACCCTTGCGTCTTAGTAGCATTATCGCCTTGCTTGGGGTGAAACAAAACCGAAAATTGGCGTCCGCAACAATCAAATTGTATTTCAATCTCTGAGGTAAACGTTCGAGACAGGGAGCTGAAATCTTCTCGGTCTGACTAAAAAGGCATTAACCCCCCCCACACACACTATCCCCATACCCCCCACCAAATGATGTTTTAATCATTTTGTCAGATTTTTGAGACGTGAGTCAGATCAACTTTTCAGTGCGTCGTAATATGTTTGATTATAATTGAGTTCAAACATTAATAAATTATAAATTCAATATAAACCATAATGGCACAGCAGATATTTATCGGTTAGGTAAACTGATTTCACTTTTTTGTAATGACACATGGCGTTGTTAAGAGGAAATATTACTAGACACCAATAATAAAAATCGTTGTGTGATACGATAATGACGTAATATTCATTAGCAAAAATGAAACCGGGTTTCATATAGCTTATTTAGTGTAAAACCTGTGCCCGGTGTTTTATTTTTATTTTTATTTTTTTCTTTCAATGTTTGGTCGAATATGTGATAAGCAGACCCTCATTTCATGGCAGAAGGAGTCAAGTGCTTTTATTCAGTTTAGTTTTGTTTTGTTTTGTTTGTTCGCTTTGGTTATTTTTACTTGTAAGGATTAGAGAACATTTTCTTTATCGTGTGACAATATTTAATTTTAATACAGTGTAACCCGGATATAAGAGAGTTGTCGGGACCGGAGAAGAAGTCTCTTATATCCGGGTTTGGTCTATTTTATATACATTAACACAGGCCCTAATTTGGGACCAGAGAAAATCTCTCTTATATC